TCTTGCTCTCCACTCTCCCTAAGCTCCCTCTCTCTCCTGCTCTCCCTGTCTCCACCATTCTCTCTGCTCCCCTAGCCCTGGCCATGTCCACTCGGCTTTCGTTGCTCTCTGCTCTAGACTCTTCCAGGTGCCTGGATATTTTCTCTCTCTTAATCACAATTAAAAAAAAAAAAAAAAAAAAAAAAAAAAAAACACCCCTAATAATGGATCGTTCATGTTGGCAGTTTCTTTAACCACACCCCCTGAGTACGATTTTGTTGATGGTGGTTTTGCTCCGTTTAGCTTTGAGACAGGTCTCATGTATCCCAGGCAGGCCTAGAAACTGTTCATCTTCTTGCCCCACCTCTGAGAACTGGGATCGAATCACAGTACTGGAACTGAACCTAGGGCTTCAGGCATGCCAAGCAAACACCTGAGTGATGTGCTGCTCTGAGAGATCAAAGAACAAGCCAGGCTCCCCTGGGATCAATTCCCTGGGGCGCGATGTTAGCAAGCCACAGAACATCAGCATTCCGCCTAGGACTCTCAAAATATCTGTGCATAGGATTACATATTTAAAGTGCGCTTTGGTTCCCTTCCCCTTCCTTCCTTAGACTACTGCCCTAAACCACCGGCATACAGATAAGAAAGGAGGTGGACAGATAGGCATTTGAAGCACACATTTGGGACAGAGCACAAGCCCAGAGTGGAGCATGGAGGCCACGCAGGTAAAGAAAACACCATGCACACAGCATCCAGAGTCCAGACACGGGAAGGAAGAGATGAGCTCCCTAGGTCCCTGATTCTTCCACACGCGCCTACGAAGACAAAAAGCAAAGAGCACTCTGTTTTGACATAATTCATTTCCCCATCAGTCTAAGCCAGCCATGCCTATAATCCTAGCACTTGGGAGGTAGAGGCTGGAGGATTGGGAGTTCTAGGTTACACTCAACCACAAAGGGTTCTAGGCCAAACTAGAACATGTAAGACCACCTCAGGGACTGGAGAGATGGCTCAGTGGTTAAGAGCACTGGCTGCTCTTCCAGCGGATCTGGTTAAATTCCCATGTCAGCTCAGAACTGTCTGTAACACAAGTGCCACCCCTGGACTGATGGTCCATGGGATCCATGGGTACCAGGCACCCATGTGGTACACAAACACAGATAAACTCCCATATACATAAATGAAACTAAAATAAAAGACAATATATCTTAATTTTTTTTTAAAAAATGCCATCTCAAAATCACCAATTAAAAAAAGATAAAATATAAATGGAAGCTAAGTGGATATCACATTTACAATCTTTTCTGTTGCTGAGTTTTAAGATTTTTTTTTTTATTGGGCTGGTGAGATATCTCAGTGGTTAAGAACAATGCCTGCTCTTTCACAGGACCCGAGTTCTAGTCTCAGCACCCACATTGTGGCTCACTACTGTCTGAAGCTTCAGTTCGGGGGGGGGGGGGGTCAGCTTCCAAGGGTACCAGGAATGTACATGGCATACACACATATATGCAGGCAAAACACCCATACACATAAAAGCAGAATAGATTAGACCCCTCGAATCCATACATCTGTACCTGCCATGTATGGATAAAGGGGTCCACTGCCTGACTCACTGTACTACACAGAAGCTTCCAGACAAGATTTTCCCTTTTTTTTCTTAAATTTTATTTTGTTGTATGGGGGGAGGAGGGGTCAGGTGGTAAGATGTGAATGACACAAAGAATAAATAAAAAGATAAGCAGCCAATCTCAAAAAATGATGAAGCTGGGCCACAGCAAATGGGGGAAGGGCACAGTCACCACCTTTGTAGAACGAAAACCAAGTGAGCTTCCTGCCAGGGTTTGAGTTCTGGAATGCCCTTCTCAGACAAAGAGTGCCCATCCAGAGCTACTCTGGCTTCACCCAAGGGTTCTTTTGTGCCCCACCAAGATCACTCTGGGTTCCAAATACCCTCAATTGTGGATACATCCATCTCGTTAGTAACTGTGCCCTCTTCCTCTCAACTAAGATCTTTTTAATTTTTTTTTTTCCCTTAACAGGAACAGAGAGACATAAAGCAAGATGTTACTAAAATGTCCCTAGCACACACTCCCCACTTTCCAGATGCCTCCCAAGATGCATGCATGACCTTGAAAGGAAGTTTGTGCTGGCTAGCTTTATGTCAATTTGCCATTAGCCAGAGTCATCTGAGGAGGTGCCACCCCTGGGCTGATGGTCCTGGGTCTTATAAGACAGCAGGCTGAGCAAGCCATGGGGAGCAGGCCAGTAAACTGCACCCTCCATGGCTTCTGCCTCAGCTCCTACCTCCGGGTTCCCACCCAGTTTGAATCCTTTCCTGCTGTCCTCCAAAGACCGTAATCAGAAGGGTAAGGGAAACAAACCCTTTTCTCCCCAACTTGTTTTTGGTTATGGTATTTCATCACAGAAATAGAAACTCTAACTAAGATAAGCCACTGTCAACCTATTCGTCTCATAAGTGTGAGATATCTTTAAAGTCAGAAGTGATCAAACTGCCTTTGCATGACATTCAAAACTAGGAAGGCACAGTACTCACAGCACCTGCCCACACACGGACAAGTACCCCAAACACTAAGTAGTTCACAACTTATCCGTCACTCCATATTGTGAGGCCGGCGTCCACCTAAGTTACCTAGGGAACTAAGGATAAGCCATGCTTATGAACACCAACATTTAAAGGAAAAGTCTAGAATATGAGAACAGAGCCTGGAGGAATGAACAAAGGTAGCCGGCACAGTGAACTACCCAGACTCAGACAGACAGCTGGACGTCCGTCTTCTAACACAAACAGGGCAGCCATATGGGAAAACTTTCACACGGCCAAATGCCATGCTGGGAAGCAACTTTCCTTGCAGAGTTCTCATAAAAATCAAGTTCACAGCCAGGCAGATGGCTCAGTGGGTGAAGACACTTAGGGCCATGCTGGACAACCGGAGTTTGAATGTGAGGAAGCTACCCTGACCTCCAGAGGTGAGTGGTGGCATGTCACCCGCCCTCCCCAACACACACACACACACACACACACACACACACACACACACACACAGTGTAAGTGCAACTTTTAAAATCTGGATTAAAGGCTGGAGAGACATCTCAGCACTTATGATCACTAGTTGCTCTTCCAAAGGACCTGAGTTCAATTCCCACAGGGCAGCCACAGAGCATCCAAAGCACCAATCCCAGGGGGTTGGATGCCCTCTTCTGGCCTCCGAAGGCACTGCAGGCGTATGGTACACACAGGCAAAGGAGAACACAAATTAAAAAAATAATAACAACACTGATCAATGCTTTCTGAAAAATCTCAGGTGATAACTGCATTTTCTAAAATTGTGCAATAAAATGTGTTTAAATAATGCTAATTTCTTTTAAAAGTTAACAATGGTTCAGCAAAAACCACAAAAAATCATCAATTAAAGCAAGGTTGGGATTAATAGAGAGCACTTTTTCCCCTGGTGCATATACAATTCATCTGATTACTTTGGAGGTTTAGATTAAAGCCAAGGGTTGCTGCCACAGCAGGTAAGGACTTTTGCAACTACAAGAACAGTAAGAGAAATGAAAATGGGGGAATGAGCATATTTATTATTATTATCATCATCATTATTCTAAACGGCAGCCATTTCTGTCTACACTGTTACTTTTCAGCAAATGAAAGGTGCTTTTTTTTTAATGCTTTTTGAGAAAGATCTTATATAGTCCAGGCTGGCCTGGCACACATCCATACTGGGGTGACAAGTGTGTGCCACAACGCCCAGCTGAGGACTTAACGAAGTAAGGAAGTAAAAATGAGCCGGGCATGGTGGTGGACACCTTTAATCCCAACACTCAGGAGGCAGAAGCAGGTGGATCTCTGTGAGTTCGAGGCTAGCCTGGTCTCTAGAATGAGTTCCACGACACCCAAGGCTACACAGAGAAACCCTGTCTCAAAGCAAAAGAGAAGTAAAAATGGTTTCACTGCATCTCCTGAAAGGAAAATGTGAAAGTTTAAGGTAACTGTTTGGGGGAGACTATGTCATACCCTCTACATGTGCACAGACACAGATGCACCCCACCCAACCCGGAGTGCCCATCTTGGAGGCTCTTCCAATTCCATGTGTGCTCAGTTGAAGGGCAATGGCTAAAATGCAATGAACCTAGTAGAGAAACTCGATGTCATGCATGCTAACCACTTTCCTTCCATTCAGTAAAAACTCTAAACACTTGAAAGTCTAGACTGTTTATTCAAAGAACAAGTCCCTTTTAAAGGGGGAAAAAAAGAAACCATGTATGTTACTTATAGCTAATTTCTCAAAATCAGCCCCAACAAACATAACTTTATGCACTAAGTTAATATCGTGACTTGAATTCTACACTAAGTGCAGAGAAATAGACTAGAGGCTACAAGTAATCCTTGCAGTATCGAAACCGCCTTCGGACAGCAGTAACTTCCTAATAACTATTTACCAATGAAGACACTTAAGAAGAAAGCGAACAATTTATCCACAATTACACGACTTAATAGGGTCCAGGATATAAAACAAACTACAAAGATAAATCATTAGCATTGGCTCAGCTACCTTTTGGCTACGTTTGAATTACAGATTTTTAAGATTTCTTTCCCAGCAATATCTGAGCTAGTATCAGTAAGAAGAAAAGCGGTTTTAAGGGGTACAGTTTTTGTAAGCCATCTGAAATAACTTTTAGCAGGCCATGACAACTCTCCCACCAGCGCAGCTAACTGGGTATGGATATGCGAACAGGGCAGTATATGGCACAAGTACTGGGTCAGGCTTTTCTCTGGAGTTTGTTTACTTTGCGACCACAGAGCTACAAAGTGGCAAGGTCTAACCTCCTTGCTTCCGCTTAAATGGGTAGGACTGCAAAGAGCCAGGCAGCAGAGATATCCCTTGCCTTGGTTCAGGTCTCTGCCCACCGGGGACGGCCCTGGGGGCGCCCCCCCCCCCCCGCGCTCCTCCCCGAGCACGCGACCGAGCGAAGGCGAGCAACCCGCCGGCCCTTACCGAGTTCTGAGCCCCGACAGAGGGCAGCCATGCTGAAAGCAGCCGACGACCAACTCTAGCGCTAGGCCGCCTTCCGCACCCGCCTAGCTCCTTCCTGCCAAGGGCGCGCCCCGAGCCACGCCCCTCCTGCCATAGCCACGCCCCACGGCCGCGCCACGCCCCCACAGCCCAGCTTGCCTGCACCCTTTTCTCCAGGAAGTTTCAGGGCGGGCGTGGCGCTCAGCCAGGACATCACACCTATTCCAATCCCTCCAGAGCAGACACGGGACCTGAGCACATTCCTGCTCCGTAAATCTCCCCAGACCATTTAAAACTGCTTGCCAATGAGCTCAACGGAATGAGTCTTAGTCAGATACTTTACTGTAGGACTAGTGATTGGCAGGTCTGGAGTGGGCCGAGCTTTGCAGCCTTGGACCTGAATTGTGGGTGTAGCCCTCAGATAACTGCCAAACAAGTCTAGGCCCTAGAGTACACTGTGATTTCTAGTCTGCACTCGATGAATTAAGAGCAGCTAGGACGTGAGCCTGGGAAGACCTGGTCTTTCCTCCTGTTTTGAGACAGGAATCTTCCATCTGTAACCAAGGGCTGGCACAAAATACGTTTGTTGAACCAGAGGCCCAGAAACTTTCGTGATCCTCCTGCCCCAGACTGACTCCACACCGCTGGGAATACCGGGGGATGTCAGCACATTCAAAAAGACTTCGTCTTTCATTAAAAAAAGGGAAAAGAAGTATTTCATTTTTGCGTACGGACGGACACACGTATATACCACAAGTGCACAGGCACCTGCAAAGCCAAGACAGGATTCTCTGGAAGTTAGCAGTCATGCGCTGGGAACTAAACCAGTCCAAACACTCTTAACTGCTGAGCCATCTCTCCAGCCCTGAAGGATTTATTATTTTACTTCTGTGAATAACTATGTGACCTAGGACACATTCCTGGCCTTTGTCAACTTCATTTTCCTTAATTGTAAGAGATGATCCTGACAATTTGCTGGCTCTCTAAAACAGATTCTGTGACGTTGACCTCTTCAGCCTGGCTTCTCTGGATCATCACTCCAGGCTTGGCTCAGGCAGCTAGCCATCTAAGCTGTGTTCACACTTGGAGTCATCTCTGCTCGGCTGAAAGTCTCAGCTACGGGTTTGTGTAGCATGAATCAATTGCTGTAGGTATTCTCAATTATCTGAAAGCATTTTTCATCTAAGGGAAATTCTGCCAGAGCATACGGAGAAGCAAAATTTAAAAATCAAGCAGCAATCTGGTAGTGGGGGCCTAATGAGCTAAACCCAAATTTCAATTCTATTTAATGATTATAGAAATGTACCATCCACATATTGCAAAATGGGGAAACCAAAGTAAGTTGCCTTGCCAAGTTGTATGGTTTATGCATCCCTGAGGGTGTGATAAATGGAAGCTATTGATGTGTCAACACAAGGACCCAGTTATCCTAGCCACAATGACCAAGCAATCCTTACCTAGTATGTAACCATCACTTGTTCACGGGTAAGTACCACCATACCTGACTGTATGTGTGGGTGCGAAGGAACCAAACTCAGGTTCTTGCACCTGCACAGCATGCTCTTCACTAAGCCAACTCTCCAGGAACCCATTTTACTCCTTTAGTTTTATGTAAGTGGCATGTTGTCAAGGAATTATCTATCAGCACCCAAGCCAAATGACCCAAGCTCCTTAATGTTCAAATTCTAAAGCAATCAGCTTTCCTACAGTGTACAGAGCAAGGACCAGGTAAAGGCAGGGGTGGGTAGACAGGAAGACACAACACCAAGAAAGAAATGTGGGTAGTTTGGCCAAGGTGGTAATAGAAGGCAGGCAAAGCACAGAGCCAGGCCAGCACCCAGCAGACGCAGGGCTCAGAACACGCATGCAGGGTCATCCACACATTATCGTTTAAGCACCCAAGCTTAAGTCACCAAAGAAACCAGAGAACCGAGGAGAGATGGAAGACTGTGGATGTCTTAAAGCTGCTAGAAGGCAGAGGAAGTTTCTCCTAGTAACTCCAGACAGGATACAGCATTGCCAGCACCTTCACTTTATTCAAGTGAGACATGTTTTAGCCTCAGAACACTGACCTAGTAAGATACGCGTCAAGCTACAAACTTGCTGCAGCAATAGGAAGCCAATGGGACAAAACTAATAAACAACCTTAATTTATTAAGTTCATAAACACCAAGGAACTTCCACTCCAAAAGACACATGTAGACTTTATTTAGGGTCAGACTCTCAGTTTAATCCTTGATGCATTGACAACACGGGTACAGAGCAGAGGACCAGGCATGTTAAACATGGTGTTAAACACGGAGAGGGACAGCACAGCCCTAGGCTCCTCAATGGATTTGCCTGTGACACGCATCGCCCCCATTCTCCCAGGCCAGCACTGCAGGCAGCTTCTTCAGTTGTCACAAACCTGACAAAACTTAACTTTTTCTCTTCTAAGCAAAGTATTAAAGGCCATTCAAAAAACAAATTATAAGAAAGCAAATTAACAGATGCTGCTCATCTGCATTCCAAATTTCAATTTACATACTGTAAGAAGTAAACTACAAATATACTCAACTGATCCAATTTATTAGAAAGTTGATGACTTTTTCAATGATCCAAACTTAAAGGATGTGATACAAAAAAAGTCTAATACATCTTAAATATTGCAAGAGCTCATAAAAATCATGTGGCTGTTCATACAAAGACACAGATGTATAGTAGTTTTCAGAAGAATTAGAGTTTCAAGTTATTTTTCTGCTCTTTCTACTTGCTCTTCTTTTTTAGTAAGTAACATGCATATTTCAAGAGGCAAGAAAAGCAATTATATCAATCTGGAAGGAACTAAATAAACACCCAGCAAAAGTCAGGAAAATTTCAAGCTTATACAATTAAATTTCAAAATTAGGGCATGTTCAGTTCAGACCCTGTAACCAAACTGTCATTTGCTATACATTGCTGTGTATGATGTAGAAACTTTCTGGGTATTTCCAGTTTTAATATTCAAATGTATCAGAATTTCCCAAAGAAAAGAGAGCGTTATTTTGCTTTAGAGGCATTTTATTTAGATAACTAAAAAATAGTAGATGTTCAGAAGCAGTCAGTGTACAATGAAAGAGATCAAACCAGTTACTTTATCATGTACTTCCTCTTCTTCACAACTAAGCAAAGAGAAAAAGACATTCTGCTTTAAGGGAATAAGTCAGAAAAATAGGCCAATATATTTTCCTTCTCCATAACATAAACAGCTACATGAAACGTAAGTGTAAAATGGCAACTGTACATTGGCGTGTTCACTTGAGACAGCGGGGTATGGCACTACAAAGCATAGCCCTCCCGCCTCTACCTCTCACTCAGCTATTCTCACTCACAGGAACACTGAGTAGTTGTTCATGCGCTGGAGCAAACGCATTCTCCCCAATGTTTTCTGCCCTCTTTGCCACAGGCAGAGAGTAACTCTGAAGGCTTGTTTAGTCCATAAACTATATGCTCTCTATGGCACACATCTGGTGCTCAGGCTTTAACTTCAGGAGTTGAAGAATAGATGGAATCTGAATTCTCTGAAGCAATTTCTTCTGCAATTAAAAGACAAAACCATAGTCAGTTAAATAAAGGAAAAGAGGAAACCCACATGACTATAAGGAGGACATGAAGCATGCTGTGGGGAGGGTACCAAACACAGAGCTACTGAGCATGGCATCATCAGCTGGACTCGGGACACCAGACACCCAAGCAGAGCTCACGCATACTCAGTTACGGTCTTCACACCTCAGGTGTGACCCATCCCTGTCCTTTCAGGGTAGGCTTCGAATGACACCAGCTACCCAATCAGCACTGACTAAAATCATGCCTTGCCAGCCCTGTCTTTTCCTTTAGTAATTAAATATGGTATAGATATGAATACTTTGTTTTAGAATAGATTTTCATTTATTGATACAAATTTAAGGTCAATTTTGTAATAAGTATATTTCTCCCCTTGTTTAGGTATTGTGTTTATATAGCTCGTTTAAAAATATAATGTATAATTTAGTATAGATTATAGATAGTTACCTATGATAGTCAAAACTTAGAGTTAAGTTAGTTAGGTTTTTAAGATGTATTTGAGATGGATAGGCATTTTTCAAACCTTTCAAAGACCTACAGAATATGGCATTTAAAATGGTTTAGGGTTTTTCTTTACAATGAGGTACAGCTCCTGGCAACACCACCTGCTTCAGAAAAGAAGATGGAAGATGGACATCGAAGAAACTCATTATAGAGTTTGCTTCCAATATGGCAAGACTAGCCATTTGGGCAAAATACTGCTCTTGTCTGAACTGTTTGACTTTATGCTGTATAAACTGGACATGCAGGACCCACAGAAAAGCGACTGCTAAAACAAGTTGGACATTGCTACAGAGTTCCTGTTTCAGGGAAGAGTCTGCCAGACAGTCTAGTCTGCAGGACACAGAGAAAAGTGACTGACAAACTGCCAATACAAGAAGACAGTTTAAAGTTTATTGCCTTGCTGAGGAGTCTGCTAGACACACTATGGACTATGGGCTGAAGATGGAACATTACAGAAGAACTTCGGGTGACTGACCAGGCAAGTTGTCTCTGTCATTTCTAGAGTTTATATATTATCCTTCTGTGGTCTTTGAGGGAGTTGAAGACAGATAGTCATGGTTATAGTTTTCCTTAGTTAGGATTAAAGATAAGTTACATATAGGACTTTAGACTCACAAGGATAGAATAGATGATGGAATATTTTCATTAAATCTTACTAAATGTTAATGGACTAAATATTGTTAACTGTGATTCTTATTTGATAACGTTGTGTGATATATTTTGCTATGCTAAAGTTAAAATTCTTTTTTAGACAGAAAAGAGGAGATGATGGGAGATGTCATTCTGTAAATATGTTTCTTAATGAATAAAGCACTGCTGGCCAATAGGAAAGGAAGATAGGCAGGACTAGGAGACAAGGAGGATTCCAGAAGTAGTAGGGAGGAGATTCATCATGGAGGACAGAGAGAGTAGAATACCAGCCCCTCTCTCCGGTAAGATGAGACCACGTGGAAATACTTAGATTAATAGAAATGGGTTAATATTTAAGACAGG